GGGGGGGGGGGGGGGGGGCAGATGGCCCGACAAGAATCGATTATTTAACATAGGTTTAAATGGAAGGAATCCGCTGTTGCCAAATTGCTGGATCCGCCTATGAAATGGAGGAAAAACAGTTTTTCCAAATTTAAGAATCGTCAGTGCACTGGGCGCGCTCCCGTGTCTTGTAAAATGACTACTTGCTGACTGAAATGGAAATTATTTTCAGCGACGATCGATAGCGTCCTGAAAGAGGGGAACGGACAGGTGATAGTGGAGGAAACAAGCGACTCCCTGATGCACGTGACTGTGACCAGGAGGGGTTTCTACGTGCTGGCCCTGAGGGCGGTTAAGGCCGACGCCCGCGTCTTCCTCCGAAGCGTCGAGGATGACGACCTGCCACCCTTCCTCCAGGTCAACCAATCCAGTCACATCACCATCGAGAATCGACGCAAGGGCACGCTCACTTTCCACTGGAGTCCCAGGTGAGTGCATTCTAAGTGCATGAATAAATTGATTTAGTGACTACGTCATTCGATACAATATCGAAAACTTGGTTCAAACTAAAAAAAACAACCATAACCTCATGTACGGATTCTTCGTGAGTTAATTGTGTTAATTTATTAAAATTTAGCTATTGACCGGTCATAAAGCTATTAAAGACTCACTATTTACGAAAAATTTTGATTGTAAGAAACACTTTGACGCATTTTACCACCATGGCCTAAAGGGCGCCAATCAGGAACAAGGTTCTGTCGAATCAAGAAATTATCAAGTGATCAATCAATCGTTCTAAAAAAAACTGAAGATCCGCTTGAAGCGTATTTTCGTAGATGATCGGTCCAGCCAAAATGCCGCGATAATGGCGGCGAGATCATAATCGGGCTGGTATAAACATTTGAGGTTAGAGTTTCGAAATTGATGCTGGTCGGATGCCATCATCTTCATCAGGTCATTTCTAAACCCTACTTTTTGAAGGATTACATTTTGGCTCTAACGCTTGCAAGAAGTCCACCTTCTATCCGTGTGGTGAGTCCCGATGTTCCCTGGTAAAAATTGGCGATAAGAGCTGCGTTTCAAAATACCATAGGAATTCTTATAGCTGTCTAAAGAAGGCTACAGAAAATCATATAGCCGACTAAAGAAGGCTACAGAAAATCATACGGCCGGGCTGTACGAAGCGATAAAAAATTATGCAGCCGGGCTATAGTTCCTATCGCCGGGCTTCACACTTTATCGCCTGGCTGTTGCTTTTTCGCCATCGGCTATAAATGGCTATAAGAAATTGTGTAGACATTCGATACGGAACCACCTTAATATTTACGAAACACACATTATATTTTCCTTTAATACATATTTTTTTCATCAATTAAAATGAGAATAATCCATACAGGATGTGCAAACATTTCAAAATCATGAGTTGAATAACGCTGACTCCGCCAGATTAAATGTTGAGCCTAACACAAAGCGGAGCGGCGACGCACTGGCGCCTACAAACCTAACAGGGATACTTCACGCATTGCGCAACGCGTGAAGTAGCCCTGTTAGGTTTGTAGGCGCCAATGCGTGTTTCGCGCTGGCTGCCCGCCTGCCACGGCGCTTGAAGCAACTATTTCACACCAGAGGTATTGCACAGTGTCATACGAAACTGAAGGCACTCTAGTATATTAGTAATGGCAGGCATCTATCAAAAGTACGGAGCTTTCCTCGCAAAGTAAATCAAGATACTACGGCCCAAAAAGAGAACAGTATTCCAAAAACTCACTAAGTCCTAGCATCCGTAATTAGTAACGTTTAGCATACACTTTATCCCCTGGCTGTTGCTTAATCGCCATCGGCTATAAAAGGCTATAAGAAATTGTGTAGCCGGCTATAGAGGCTATTCGAAATCTTACAGCCGGCTGTAGGTCTATGGTATTTTGGAACACAGATTCTACTGCCAATTTTTACCAGGGTTGTTCCGAAAAATTATGATCGCGTCAAAACAAAATACGAAACCGCATGATTCACCCATTTTGGTTCGATCGATCATCAACAAAAATACGCTTCTAGACACGATACTGCCGTGCAAAGGAAAAACGCCATAAGAACCCTCAGGCGTTGCCAAATTTCCATCGATAAAATATGAATTTACTGGGAAAAGTTGTCTTTTTTTTTCTTCCAATGTTTAAGACAGTTTTTCTCGAAGAAGGAGAGGCGTCATGAAGTCAGACAAAACTCGTTACGTAATATTTTATGATATCACTAATGCTATGTTTCTCAGCGTAACGGAACACGGTACAGTAGACGGGTTGTCTCGTTGTAACGAATCCAAGTTTTCTGAGCGCGAGAGGCGAAATGTAAGTCGACTCCAAACGGGTGATCTTTTTGGCACCAATGGAAAACCGGGATCCTTAATCTCAGCGCAAAATTTTCGCGAATCAAGTGCAACGTCACTGCGTTCCTGAAGCGGAATTCACGAAAAACATGCCATCATTATTTATTTGATCTTGAAGGCCAGGGTCGAACTACGGACCCGCTATACGCTTAGCTGATTCAGCAATGCTCTCCGCTCAGCGTGAGAAACTTCCTAGAAAGTGGTCCAAAGACGTCCAAGATGATCAAACTGCATATGTAGACAGGAAAATCGTTTAGAATTACCTGCGCCTGGAGACAAAAATGTTTGAGAGACCCCGCATCGGCTAACTCCTGTGCGGCAAAATTCAAGTCGGACCACAATTTTTACAATACGTTACGCAGCTTCAGCCCCTATTTTTAACGACTGGCGAGGGGTTGCTCCCGATTGGCTGATGGATTTCAGTAATCACAATAGTGGATCTGGGGAAAGATGTAAAATGTCATGAAAAAAATAGCGATCACTCTAGCCCCTATACGATCTTTGAGGCAAAGTGCGCGATGGAAGTTCCGCACTCCCCAAGAAGCACAGATTGCAATAATTTGCAACTACATGGTAAAATTGTTGCTACTACATCCGAATGTTGTGTGCGTGTGAGGGAGGGTGAGGGTGAGGGTGTGTGGTTGTCGCCTATCTACTGATCGAAGGCGCACGGCTCGTTGAAATTTATTGCAATGAAATTGCAATTTTTCATTATTCTGCGTAATGTCTATCTTTCTGACACATGGAACTCGCTTTGTTGATTGCTTAGAATCGGCACTCATTGACCGAGTGATGTAAAAAGATTGCAATTTCTAGGTAAAAAATTTCAAATTTAATGCATTAAATCGCACCTTTATTTCAATATTTTCATTGCACTTTGCTACTTCAGTAGGAGTCCCATACCGGTGAAAAAAAGGTAGAACATGAGCCAGAAATTCGTAAACACCTCAGTAGCATTTTTCAACGAAAAAATCGCGATATTTCGCAATTTAGTTGCGATTTTTTTTAGTGATTTTTTGGCGATAAAATCGCTAGGATCATCAACATCTGAGCGATTATCCTCAATCTTGTCGCAATTTTATCTCTGTAAAATTGCATTAGATAAAATCGAAATTTTACCTCAATTTATCACGATTTTTTGTTCAATAACATTGCGATAGATCGCCGTCGATGAAATCGCGATTTTATTGCAAATTCATGCGATTAAATCGCAATTTTTCTCTGATAAAATTGCAGTGAATCAACGTCGATAAAATCGCGATACATTCTCCGATCGAATCGCAACTTTTCGCGTTCACTACCAAATCAACTTTTTAAATGTTTTTTTCTTGGCTCAATCTTGAAACGACCTCGGGCACTCCCGTTAATCTCGGTCCAGTTGCAATTCCGTCTCTATATATATCTGAAGATCAAATAATTAAATGAAGGAAATAAAAAATATTAATTCGAAAGAGTGAAAAATCAGAGGCAATGCGGCTGCTTCATGAAGAAGCTGACAAGGAATGTTTGTGTGTCCGTTTTAGCACACAGGTGGTCTTTGACGACAAGTGCGCAGGTAACCGGACCGGAACTTGCTGGAGTCAGTCATCTTTTAATTCTCTCATGTATGCCTACATACACGGACGAGAAGCGTGTTCCGTATCCATGATGGAGTCATTTTATACCGATATTTAAGACTTAACAGCTCATGGTGTCCTAATCCGGCGCAAAAATTCCGCAAGTCGCGAGAATTCACTCACCTTTGATTGTGGAAAAAGGAGAGGATCAAGAGAGACCTCCCGTCACTTCATTCCTTGCCTACAGGGACTCTTGCAGAGATCCCGCTCTGTCATCTTCAAAGCGAGAGAAGAACAGGAAGCAGAAGAAGAAAGGAGGAGAAGAAGAAGAGAAAAAGAAAGGCGAAGAAGAACCCATTTTCCCTTTAGCCCCTTTCTCTCTCTCACTCTCTTTGCTGCTCTTCCCCCTCATTTTCTCTCATTTCGAAGCTGGCAGAGGAAGGAAAGAGAATAAAGAAGAGAAAGTAAAGGAGGAAGAAAAATACGGAAATGAAGACAAAGGAGAAGAGGAAAAAGAGAGAACGGACAAGGAAAAATGAGAAAGAAGAAGGAAAACTAAAAAGTATAAGAGGAGAGAGGAGGAGAACAATTGAAAAGAGAAAAAAGGAGAAGAGGAAGAGACAAAATATGTAAAAGCAGCAAAGATAAAAGGGGACAACAGAAAGGTAGAGATAAGAGAGAAAAACAAGGAAGATGATGAAGAAGAGGAAATAGAAGAGGAAATGCAAGGAGAGGAAGGGGGAGGCCATGGAGAATGAGAGGAAAAAAAAGCATTTTTCATGAACTGCACATAAGTTGTTTCTGAAATGAGCCTAAACTTTTGGCTCCTGATTGCAGAATGTAGTCTAAATGACGTGGGTTCCGAGCAATAGTTTAGCAAACGAGATTTTATTTGACAAACTTGCTTTGTAAATTTCTCGCTTCAACATTATTTTGCTGCTCATCAGTCATTATCATACCAACAAAAAACAAATCAAACAAATAATACGGAAAAAGTTGGTAAAAACAACTTCAGCACTACTACAATATGTTAGCAACTGTAGCAATATGGTATGTACTCCTAAATGCCGCGATAGGGAACTTTTCTCCGTGCGCTTAGTGACTTCAAATTTGACATCCGTCCAAAAATCTGTCCCCAAAAAATGGACAAAATTCCCTCGGGCTAAGGTAGGAGCGATTCTATCCCGGATCTCGACTTGGATAGAAACGTAAGAGCAAAGCACAAGGGCCTACGTAACATCTGCGGGTTGCCTGCCCTTCGGCCTCAAGATGGCAAAAACCCTGAAACTCCAGTGGAACTCGCATTAAGATACGCGGTTTCTGAACAGGAAAGTAACAGAGCTTATCTGCCAGATTGTTCTGAAAATTAGCTATTTTGGCTTAAAATTCATTACAAAAGATGCATATTTTATGATAAAATCTGACGACCTTGCGTTGGAGGGGGCGGACCACAGAGACCGCCACCGCCGGCCGCGATCCTGGTCGGCTGATGACTCGTTAATGAATTCAGTCGGCAAGACGAAGCACTGATGACCGATGACAGCGGTGACCA